ATCTGTCAATAATTTACACCTAGAAGTAGACCATCCTCTAAGAATAACTCCTGCATATTGCTCCCTTTGTAAGTTATAGTGACTTTAAGTAGTGTGATAGGTGGCCATTTACTAGGGTCTATCATCTATCTATCTATCATCTGTCTATCTATCTATCATCTATCATCTATCTATCTACCTATCTATCTGAATGACTGGTACAGAGGGCTATGATATGGAATTTTTCATAACAACAAGGCCATTTTCAACTCTTGCTTTAAATGCTCATCAGTCAACATCTATGCTCACTGAGAATTTTTCTTTTCCTTCAACCTAAAATGCCTTTCTCAGCACTATTTGCACATTAATTTTCTAAATATACAATATGCTCAAATTGACTAAATATGTATTGTTTTGCTGGGTATGCAAAGCCTCTGGATCTGGACAATTAGGGAAAATTCTCTTTTGTATTTCTTATGTATTTCTTACAAATCAAATGACCAAATTGTAAAATTAGTAATAGAAGAATTTTTCACATGTACATTTATCATCATCTTATAATTGTCACAAGTAACTATGTTGGATAGTAAAAAAAGCATATTGTATAAGGTAGGTTATTAAAAGATGGTAATTGCATATATTTTTAAATAAAAATAATTTGAGAACAATGTAGACTTATTGCATGGATTCTAGTTTGTATTTCATTCTATCTCTATGGAATCTCCAGTATTTGAGCTAGTTTTGACTTCTGCACAAGACAGTGTAGAATAACAGAGGATGTCATCAGAGGATGTGGGTTACAGTTCTGCTCCTATCAATTATTAACTGTGATTTGAGGGTGATAGTTTTTCTTCATGTTACAATACAAGGTACTGTTAGTACATGCCTAAAATGTGTCATTAATTTTTTAAGTGTTCTATTTGGCCTTATGTAATTTAATAATAATAGTAACTATACTGTCATCATCCTCATTCTGTACGTGAGGAAATTGAGGTTCAAGGAGCTGTGTGATTTTTTAGGGGTCAGAAATCTCATGAAAAATGCTTAGAAGATGAACTCCATTTTTTTGGCCTTCAAGGCCCATGGAATTTGTAATTAACCACTATAAAATACTTCCTCTCAAAAATTTATGAAGTGAGAAAGTATAAATCACATATTAGTTTTCTTTTAAGATTCATAATGTATGATATAAATATTAGTTATTGTTAAAAAACAGGTAAGTGGGCTCACATTTTTTACTTTTCAGATGAAGAAAACACAGAGGATGAATCAGTTTGTGTAACAGAAAATTCCAGAGCATAATAACCCAAATATAGGTTTATATGTAGCTAGTGACTCTGTGGCTCAATGCATCTGGACTAGGTTCCCCCGGACAGTTCTGGATATGCACGACAGCAGTTCTACTTTTGGGAATTAAGTGGCTCTCATCTAGGGGAAGAGATGAGAAGTTATAGCTGCTGGCAAGTACTTTATTCCTTTTTAAAAATCCTTGTTCTATTGTGTTCTTGACTTGTTTCTTAATTCTACTTCTTTTTGTACTAAAGAGGTATGTGTGTATGTCAGGGAGAGAGATCTCATCATCAAGCAGACCAGCTAAGGCTTGTTCTCACAGCACCAGAGGAGGGCTCCAAAAAAGAAAGAGAATTCAGAAGCCTGCAGGACCTTTTCAAGTTGAGGCTTTGAACTGTTACATCACTTGGCTTCATTCTATTGGCCAAAGCAAGTCATACAGCCAGTACAGATTCAAGGGCTGAAGAGACCTGATAGGAGAAGATGTAAAGTCATATTATAAAGGATCATAACTACAGGGAGGGATGGGACATTGTGGCCATTTTTAAATCTACCTCAGAGGAATTTTGTCTATAAATAGCATTTTGCTTCGTAAAGGTTTAAATCCTTATAGCTGTTCTTTAAAAGAGTTAATTTGTTCAAATGTTAAACTTACAGATATGTCATTCTGATATTCTCAGCGTGGCTTCATGAGATCAAGCCGTATGTCTGGTGGTGAAGTAGTGCTAGGTTTCCACAGCCTTGTATGATGCAGACTCAAGGATGCAAAGGAAGCAGCATTTCAGCTACTTCACTGTAAGGAGTAACAGTCATGTAGATCCTTACTGCACACAGACCAACAAAGGAAACCATAGCTGTTTTTTTTCCCCCTTCACCTTTCCATTGCCATTGTTCATCAAAGATTTGGAGTTAGCTGGAGGGATTTTCTGTTCTCTCCTGTCCTATATAATGAAGCCTGGATACTTGTCCTAGGATCTTCCCCTCTTATATTGACTGGAAAAAAAATAACAAAGACTGTATCATTTATCCAGTGAAATATCCAGTGAAATATCAATTATCCAGTGAAATACAAGCTCATCTTTTATTTCTCACATTCTTATTTTCAAACTTATCTGGCATGTTCTCTAATTTCACATCTAATCCTTTTATGAATCATAAGAAAAGTCTGACTTCTTCTATAAGATGATCCTCTTATCCTTTGATTATTTCTAGATAGCTTATATAAGATTAGACACAAATTGATTCATTACATCTCTTTCTTATCTCCCCTCCCCCATGAGTCCTTGGCATCTCCCTCAGCCCCTTTTTAGATTCCTCTATAGATCCCTCATAATACAAATTTAATCCCAAATTGAAGGTTTTCATTATTGGTTCTGCCATCTGTATGAGTTATCTTTCTAGAAGTCTTGTAATTTAATGTGAATACTTCTTCCACTTAAATTAAAAATCAGGCCCTGGCTGGCGTAGCTCAGTGGATTGAGCGCGGGCTGGGAACCAAAGTGTCCCAGGTTCGATTCCCAGCCAGGGTACATTCCTGGGTTGCAGGCCAGAACCCCCAGCAACCGCACGTTGATGTTTCTCTCTCTCTCTCTCTATCTCCCTCCCTCCCCTCTCTAAAAATAAATAAATTAAAAAAAAGAAAAGATTTATCTTTAAAAAAAAATTAAAAATCAGTAATTTAGGTAAAGCACTTTGCATGTAGTAAGAGCTCAGTAAATATTATTATTATTATAAATGCTTCTGTTACTACCCTTACTATTGCCAGTTTATTTTAAACCAAACCATGCACCTTCTCTCTTCACTGGATTTACAACATTAAGTTATATAAGGAACCATCTAGACAATATGAAGATGCATGTTAGAATATGAATAGAATTTTTCTTTGTAAATTTTATGGCAATTAAAATTAACTATCACTATTATTTTTAGAAATTCCTTTGTGATTTATAATAGGGAAAAACTAGAATCACTCCCTCAGTATTTAAGCTTTACATTTTTTTGCATGTGTTAGTAAAGGAAATTTATATTTTCACAGAGCAGTTTCTTAGGTTATTACTACACATTGACTGTCATATTATTAGTAAATTTTTATACATGTACACATACATATTTTCTTGCATTACTTTTCTAGAAATCAGTGCCCTTTTAAAAACCTTTTAATTCTTCACTTTGTTTATTTACTGTCATAACAGGTGTTTTTAGTGAATTGTTTATCTTTAACCATGCACCTTGCAGTCCTCTATATTGCTAAAACTTTATTAGTAACTAATAACTTTTGCTCTTTTCAGATCACAGTGTCACTATGAACAACTTTTTCAAAGAGATTTCCTCCTACATACAACTTGATGTTTTGCCTACTATGTGGACATCAATTCTATGAAAACATACCTGTGGAATAGGTGCTTGCCCCCTTTACCTCCCTCCCTAGAAATGTACACACAGGCACAGAAACACACACGTTTTTTGGGTGGTGAGGTCTGATAAGGGTTGAACTGTTTCCCTGCCTTCCACCCCGCAACCCTCCAGCACCCTCTCCAAAGAGAGATGTTGAAGTTCTGATCTCCAGCACCTCAGAATGTGACCTTGTTTGGAGATAGGGTTTTTACAGAGGTGATCAATTTAAAATGAAGTCATTAAGGTGGCTTCTAATCATTACATCTAGGGTTTTTATATAACTGAGAAATTTGGACACACAGACATCTGCCTAAGGAGAAAATGATGTGAAGACACAGTCAGATGACCACCTCCCACAAGCCAAGGAGAGAGGGCTGGAATAGCTCCATTTCTCAGAGCCCTCAGAAGGAACCAACCCTGGCAACGCCTTAATTTCAAGTTTGTAGCCTCCAGAACTGGGAGATAATGTATTTCTGCTGTAAACAATGTACATTGTGATACTTTATTATGGGAGCCGCAACAAACTAATACAAGGCACGATACAAATTTAAGAAGGTGAGAGATTGGCTAATTAGACACTTGCTTTGGGACTTGGAAATCTGTAGCTTGTCTTTCTCGTTTCTGATAAAGAAACCTGAATTTTTACTTGCTTGAGATTTATGGTCCTGAATAAACTTTTAAAACTTGTTTTGTTTTACATAACCATGATGTGGTGTCTGGAGACCTACATTTGACTGAAAAGAGCAAGCCAGAGCCATGTATAAGACACGAGAAAAAAGACTCACTGGTCACCTGTAAGTAGACGTGTTTCCCATCAGCTGCCATTAAAAAAACCAAAAAAACAAACAAAAAAACCCACAATTGGTCTTAGATTCTCTCTCACTTGTTGGGAGGGGCGGTGGGGCAGCGGGAAGAGAAAGGATGTGGAGAGCCGGGTGTAAATAAGGCCGGCAGAGAGGGTGGGGGTAGAGCTTCACCAAAGAAAAATAGCTGAACCTGGTTGGTACAGCTGAGCTCACCCAGACCCACCCACACTCCCACCCACCCTTCCCCGAGCTCCGTGCTCCGGCGGCGGCGGTTGGCGGCGAGTGGTGCGGCAGGGGCAGTTCCAGCAGCGGTTGCTTCAGGGGCGAAACAGAATCTGCAGGTCGCAATCGGAGCGGGGTGGCTTCACCTTCAAAGGGTTGAGCTCTCCAGCCCTCTACGGCCAGCTCCGCTGCCTGCAGCCGCGGCCAGCCTATTTGCCCGCGCGCGCCCGGGGCGCGGAGCTCCGGCCGGACCCGCCCCGAGCTCCATGGTTCGCCCAGCCCCGCGCGATGGTGACTCGCGGCGCCGAGGCTGGCGCTGGGCGAGCCAGCCTCTCGCGGAATGAGGGCGGGGAGCGTGGCCGGCGGCCCCCTGGGGCTGTCTCCGCGACCCCAGCGCCCAGACGGGCGGCCCAACCACCGGAACCCGCAAAACACCAACAAGTAGTTTCCCGTTGGAGAAGGGCGGCTCGGCTGGGTGTTGGGACCAAGTCCCGCTGCCGGGAGAGGCTCGTCCACGCGGACACCAAAGCAGAACCACTTTTATCTCGGTCTCGAAGGTATCTGGGGGCGGGAGGGAAAGGGGGTGATGTGCTGGGAAGGGCGCGCTGACCCTGCAGGCAGGCGCCCCCCTTCCATTCCGCAGGAGGAGTGTGGAAGAGAAGCCCCGGGGGAAGGTGGACGGGAGACTGGAAACGGGGACGCTGTCAGCCCGGACTCGCAGCCCAGGGGGTGTGCCTCCCGCAGCCTTTCCCGCGGCCTCGCCCCTCCTAGAAAGCAGCCCCCACCCCCATCCCCGAGGCATTATTTATTTATTTATTTTTTAGGAAGAGGAGACCGGGCGGGATGCATTAATCACTACTATTCTCAAAAATGGATGCTAGTCAGTCTTCTCCTTTCCCAAGTAGTAATAATATAAGCAGCAACAGCAATAAGGTGAAAAGAAAATTGGATCAGGAAATTGGTCCGAGGTCTCCTTGGTGAAAGGCAACATCAGGGAGATTTTTTTTTTCTTTGACTTCTGCGTTGAGTCTTTTTGCCTGGTCAGTGAGGGAGAGTAGAGGTGAACCTGGAACAGGTCGCTCAGAGGGCACGCCCCGAGCACCAGGGAGCAGGAAGCCACCCAGAGTCGACCGAGGGTAAGCGTGCCAGGGGGCGCTAGGCCGAGTCCGGGGGGCGGGGGGCGGCTCTCAGCTGCCACTGCCAACTTGGCTCAGCAGAGAGGACTCCTTGCCTGAGGGAATTGTCTCCAGGCTAGCGGACGGGGAGAGCGACTAAGGGAGTGGAGAGTGGCCGAGAGGGACCTGGGGCGGGGGGTGCGGCGGCGGAGGGGAGGGGGAGAAAAGTGCAAGAGGGGGAGACAGGGAGGAGAGAGAGCGAGCTCGGGGCTGCGAGGGTGAAGGGTGAAAAGATGAAGGCGCAAAGGGAGAAAGGTGAGGTGTGAAGCGGGGAAAAGGGTGTCCTGGAAGGTCAAGGAAGACTTGCACTGCTACCCCCTTGGTGCCCTGGGAACCCGGGAAAGGAGTGGGGCGGGAGCACACCGGGCGCCGACGGCCCGGGGAGGGTCGTTCGCCCTGTGCCAGCCTGCCAAGCCCGCATCTCGGGGCTCTTGGGCTGGGAGTGGGGGTGGGGGCTCGGCTCTGACGGCCGAGACGCTTAACTTGGGGCCGTGTTCACCCCCCCCCCAGTCATGTCTGAGCCACAGAGATGGGCAAGATCGAGAACAACGAGAGGGTGATCCTCAACGTCGGGGGCACCCGGCACGAGACCTACCGCAGCACCCTGAAGACCCTGCCCGGGACGCGCCTGGCCCTGCTCGCCGCCTCCGAGCCCCAGGGCGACTGCCTGACCACGGCGGCGGGCGACCGGCCGCAGTCGGCGCCCCCGCTGCCCTCTCCGTCGTCGCCGCGACCGCCCCCCCTGTCCCCGGGGCCCGGGCGCTGCTTCGAGGGCGGAGCGGGCAACTGCGGCTCCCACCGGGGCGGCGGCGGCGGGGACCACGCCGGGGGCGGCCGCGAGTTCTTCTTCGACCGGCACCCGGGCGTCTTCGCCTACGTGCTCAACTACTACCGCACCGGCAAGCTGCACTGCCCCGCCGACGTGTGCGGGCCGCTCTTCGAGGAGGAGCTGGCCTTCTGGGGCATCGACGAGACGGACGTGGAGCCCTGCTGCTGGATGACCTACAGGCAGCACCGCGACGCCGAGGAGGCCCTCGACACCTTCGAGACCCCCGACCTCATCGGCGGCGACCCTGGCGACGACGAGGACCTGGCGGCCAAGAGGCTGGGCATCGAGGACGCCGCGGGCCCGGGGGGCCCCGACGGCAAGTCTGGCCGCTGGAGGCGGCTGCAGCCCCGCATGTGGGCGCTCTTCGAGGACCCCTACTCGTCCCGAGCCGCCAGGGTGAGTAAGGCCAGACTCCCTCCTCCCCACACCCCTTCCCTGCTGCTCCAACTTTTCCCAACACCTTCCCCAGCCCTGCTGTTCATTTGCCCCGAGGGCCTCTGGCATGGGGAGTGGGGGAGGGGAGCAGGGATCGGGGTCCTAGACCAGGAGATTGGAAGCCTGTCGGTCGGTCGGGTGAAAGGTAAACTCAGGGGCCCGGACCCCCATCTGCCCAGGTCCCCTTCACCTCCCTCCTCTCCTCGACTCTAACTCAGATTTACTTCAGCAGATGGGACCTGAAGGGCCTATGGTGACTTCTCTGTGCAAGTCTGTCTGGAACTTTTTCTTGAAACCAGCATCAGACTTCATCTTGAGGGTGTTTTGTTGGTTTGCTCATTTTTCTTGATGGTTTTGTTATAACTTTTCTTTTAGCACCGATGTCTCTTCAGGCCTTCTGGTCACCCCAATCTGACATTTTCAGTGAGGCTGACACTGCTTCCCATCTGACTCACCCAGGGCAGTGGCTCAATTAGGGATCTCATCTGAGGACAGAGGAAGGGGAAATGGAATCCATGCACCCGTGGCTGGCGTGGGAGAGGGTGTGCCAGGAGGTTCATTTTGTGAAGACAGTCTCCTGCGTGCTGTTTGGGCTGGTCTCTTTCCAAGGGAGAAGAGTGCTGGGATTGCTCTTCCCAGTGAGCTGAGGGGAGAGCCCACCTGCACACTGAATTTTGGATGCTGGTGTCTTTCCCCTTGGTCTGTAACAGTGTTTGTCACAGGCTGAATGTGAATTAGTCACTTTGGTGATCCAAGTTTCATAACATTTTCTAAATCTGGGTAATTTAAATTGTAGCAAACTCTATTTTACTGTTTAGATTGTGATCCCACCCTCAATTTTTCTTTGCAGTTTCCAGCTTGAGTGACAGCTTAAATTTGGTTCTTGACATTCCCAATTAATTCTTCAAAATCCCATAAAGGGGCTATAAAAGTTACCAATAGTGATTTCTTCGGTTTAAAGGAAACAAAAGAAATATAAATAACCAAAAATTATATGGTACGTGAATGGTTTTTAATTATATGTGAGAACAGAATACTGTATTTTGTTAAGTCTCTACAACTGTATGTGTCTCATTTGCTTCTGACACCCAGAAAAGATGCCCCCTGGGCAGAATGGGAGTTCTCCCAGCTTCACGTTGGCTCCATTCTCATTACTGTCTTTGTGTGTCGGAAGTCTTTGCCTCTGAGATACTGTGCAGCTGTCCCTCTACCAACTTGTCAGAAAATGTGCTTCTGACACCACTTTAGAAGTCAGAAGATATGTTTTGTTTTCAGTATGAAATTGAATATAAAAGAGATAACTTAAAACACTGCCACTCCATTGAATCTGGAATCTAAATGCATACATAAATTCTAGGAGGTCCACATTACCATATTTGAATATAGAATTCATAACTTCAACCCTGAAAGGTTCCTTTCAGACAAAAGTTGACATTCAGAAAAACACAAACAAACAAGTACGTATTTATTTAAATTAAACCTCAAACTCGTGACCATCACATCTGTGTTCCTGCCCCCCGGCCGCTGCCCCAGTTGAGTGCCACAATGCTCTTTCTCCTTGGTGGAGATAACTGGTAAAAAGATAACTGAATTTGTTTGCAGGTTCACCATGTGATATATATATTTTTCTAGATCATGCTCTGTAAAAAGAATATTTCGTTATCTTTCCCTCATGATCATAGCATACATTTTATTGTAGGACACTGCATAGCAAAAACTTTAATAAGAGTGTGCTCATCTATTATTGCTATAAAAATTGATTCAATTGATTATTGGTCTAAGGGTAGACCGTTAGGTTGAAGATAGTCTTCTATAAATCTTTCTAAGATTTCGTTAATTAATAGTACTAAGAATTTGAATTGTATCCATTTTAGGTGAGGGAAGAACACAGGTAGATTGAAGATTAACTTAAGGTCACAGAGCCATTAGAAGCAGAATCAGTCTGTGAATCATAGACATGGACAATTTCTTTGACATCACCTTGTGAATACCCTTTATTTTGTAGATGAGGAAAATGAAGATTGCAGATACTAAGTGATTGCCAAGGTCATATGGCAAGTTAATGGTAGAGCCAAAATTATCTGGAGGTCTTATGACGTCCTCTGCAGGCTCTTCCACCACAACAACTGATTCTAACGGACTGATTTGTGAAATCCCTGCAGATCCTGTTGCTCTGGAGAGCTAATGCAGCATAAGATATTCACTTGCATGCTAACTTCGAAAGATCATCTGTGACTTTTTTTTTATATGTGTGTTCCTGGACTTTGGCTGGTGGAAATTTTACCCTGCAGCACCCAACATTGGAATAAAAATATGGGATTGAAATTAATTTCTTTAAACCAGCCCTGTTTGAACTTCCATTTTTATTCACCAGTTGATAAGTAATGTTTTGCTTTCCTTCAGACTGGCTAACATTTGTAGGACTTATCTTCAGGGAAATCCCTTTTCAAATTGCTAGGGTTGCCTAAAAAAGAATAATCAGAAGTAAACCTCCATTCCATTTAAATGTGAGTTAGTATTTTTATATGAACGCTTTTAGTTCAGATGATGATCTGACTTAATGTGATCTGACTAGGTTGATAAATAGAATTACATTGGACATGGACATAGTTCTAGGAGACATATATCAATTATCAGGTGGCTTGCTTTGGCTCTGGTCTTAACTGCCACAAGTATCATTCTTAAGAGAAGTTAAATATTTAACTTTAATGATTTTCCTCATTTTTTATATTAATGCATTTTTATTGGTATACTTGAGATGAACAATTTGTCTGAACACCTTTTTAAAATTGTCATCTTTTCTAATATTGAAGACATTGTCTCAGTTTTATAACAGATGTGTTTTATTTCTAACTTTTGTGATCTAAACTGTCAGACTGAAACAATAGTCATAGGAACTGGATAATTAACTGGACAATTTACAGCATTGTGTTTTTGTGTTTATTTTTTTGTTGGCATTTCTCCTCTAGTCCCTTTAATTTATGATGTAAACACATATTTGAGAAGTCTAAATTGTCCAAGTAAACTTGGTAAATAAGTTTATATTTTATATTTTTGAATTCTTATCCTTAAGAATAGTATTCAAAAATAGAAATTTATAAAAACTCACAAATAAGTTGTCATGGAAACCTGGTGTGGAGAATGAGATCAAGGGGAAAAAAGAGATAATTCTGTTGATGCCATTGAGAGATATTTACAAATAGTAAAAAGCAAAGATGCATAGTTGTACCTGTGAAAATGTTCTGCGTTGTATGTTTTCAATTTAATATCTATCTAAGTTTTAGAAGGAAACGAAGCTTGTATGTGCTTTCTTCCGAAGACATTCTGTCACAGGTAAGCAGATAGGAACCAGGAAGAGATTCCTTGATAGAACTTTTAGATTTGTTAGATGTTTTAAGAAGATAATATAGTGACAAAATACTAGAATTAAAATTATTAAATAGTTTCTTCCCAATATTAAAGAACTGAGAGCAGTTATAAATATCTCCTTCTTCCACTTCCTTTCACTTACTTTTTGGGGGGGCGGGCGCAGGGAGATGGAAGGTGATTGAGTTAGGTTCTTTTTCAGATTGTGGCTCTTCCTTGGCAGAATGATCTTTGATTACCTGATAGACCATTTTTTACTTTCAAAGAACATTTTAGAAAAGAAAAACAAACGAAGAACTGACATGGAATCAGATCAAAGGCGTTGCATTTTTGTGTGGGTCCAGCCTGTTTTATGTCTCTTCTCCAGACCTTTCTTTAGTACACTGCTGTGTGCAGGTCATCCCGAAGTACACACAGGTTATGATAGTGAATCCATCATTTTTTAATCATGAAAATATTTATTTTATTCCCAGAATTTCGGTCCTTAAAACTACTAGAATTTAAGTTTCAATACCTGGAGTTGGTTTCAGAATTCACATACTTAATTCACTTTTTTTATTTCCCTCTTCTTCAAACTGAAGTAAATAAATAAAATAAGTAAATAAATAACAAAACCAGAAAGGGAAGAACCTAAATGACTATTTGCTGGCATTCAATGTAACATTTAATTAAAAATATGACAGCTCTGCCTAGTGTGGTTCAGTGGATTGAGTGCCGGCCTGTAAAATCTAGGGGTGGCTGGTTCAGTTCCTGGTGCAGGCACACTCCTGGGTTGCTGGCCAGGTCCCCAGTAGGGGGCGTGCAAGAGGCAACCTCACATTGATATTTCTCTCCCTCTCTTTATCCCTCCCTTCCGCTCTCTAGAAATAAATAAATAAATTCTTAATAAAATAAAATAAATTAAAAATATAAAAAATGATAAGGACATCTGGAGTCAAAAATTAAGATTAAAGAGGAAAAATATTCTAATTCTTGTTTTGTAAGCATTAGCTCAGTTAAAAGAATTAATGGCCAAATATATCTTGTTCACAAAATATTATTGTCAATTATTACAAATTTTAGAGCATTTATTAATTCAATGAGTATTGATTATGCAGTCACTCTAGACCAGAAACTATGCAAGATACTGCAAATGCATGGAAAAGATATAGTCTTTCACCCTCAATAAACTCATCACTGTATTTATAATAAAATATTTCCTAAAAACATGATCTGTTAAATTTTAAAAATGCAACAAACAAAATTCTAGAGATATTAAAACATATTCCTTAAAAACAGCTTGCATGGAAATACTGCCTGACACATGCAGGAAAATATTCTAGTTAGAAATGATGGTGTTCAAGTATTGTTAGTCTATATTTTATTATGAAAATGTTAGGCTGTTTTAGTCTTGATTATTCTGCTTTCAAAGTGAGTTATTGGCTTTCTCTTTGTCATATTATTGGAGAAGATGATGAAGGCTGTACTTATACCGAACAACTGGATTTTTTGGGATATAGTCAAGTCTCTTCATCCCTTTTATATTAATTAAAAAAATCATGGCCAGCCATATAGCAATGCGAATCCGACCTTCGGAACCCTGAAAAGAATCTGCT